TGGATGTCTGAGTTTGAAGCCAGTCTGGTCTACAGAGAAAGTTCCAGGACAGCCAGGGATACACAGAGAAACCCTATCTTGAAAACAACAACGACAAAGTAATAATGATAATAACGTTGTAGTTTAAGGTACTGTGGTAGGAGAGACAACACCTGGCTGGAGGACACCAAAGGGATGACGATGAGTGTTAACAACACAGAGGTCATATAAAAGCCTCCGTTTGCCAGAATCTTTGGGAATATAAAGAACAGGAGTATTTCAGTTGCTAAAAGATGAGCCTGAAGTGAACTAGCTGATGTAAATGTTTAATTTACTCTTGAACTAGCTGATGTAAATGTTTAATTCCATTGTCTCCTTTAATGGGTCATTGACTTACCCAAATTCGGGGATCTTTTATCCAGGAAAGCTTGGGTAGGTGTCTTTTGAGTGGCCCTTAGGAAAAAGCATGTTCAACTATAGAGTTGTTACAACCCCAGTGGAACAGGAGGTCTTGTCCCCAAAGGGAACAAGGTCAAGGATAGCCTAGAGGGTTGCAATACGCACTTGGATTCTGGGTAGCAGCGCATACGGCTTCTACACTTGGCAGGGGATGTCTTTTGCCACCATGCCCTTGGGTATCTAAGACTGAAGATCTAAGCATCATTAGAGGGACAGGATTGTTCAGCTGCAATAGAAACATGAGCTTCTGGGTTGATAATGCCAGTTGTGGGGATCTGGTTGACTAAATCTGTAATATGAGGTTCACCAAGAGACAACAGAGTCCAGTATGCATCTGAGCAATCAAGTCTTTTGATTTTGTCAATAATCGTCAGGAGTTTGTGGTGTCAGATAAAATATAATAATCAATTGCTTCAATTGAGTTAATGCTGAAATTTCTTGGAGTAACTGGGAATGAACCATAATATGAATTTGAGCTGTGTAATCTGGGCAAATAAAAACTCTCTATAATCTGATTTGATTTAGCCAAAACATTTATTTTATAGGAAGGAATCCCCATATGCCTGTGGGGAGTCCCATTACTTTTCCTATTGCACCTATATCTTTAACTAAGGATAGATCTAATATTGAATTATTTTTAATAATGTTGATCTTATTGCCTTAGGGTTAGGGGAGAAGCCAGATGGAATGTTTCAAAAGACCTGAAGCAACAAGACCAGCTGTGGCTACAGCTGGCTGTGCTCCTGGCAGCTGGGAGACAGTACAAGGGAGGGGACTCTAGGCTTCCAAGCTGGGGTATAAGAGGGATGGTTTATGTCTCCTGCAGGTCCATAGGGACTCATTTCCTCATTCCAAAAATTGGATCACCTTCTTTATCAAGTTTAGAATGACACTTACTGGCCTAGGGAAAACCCCTGCTATAATTTGGGCATATTTTAAAGGTGGGTTTACCAGGATGAGTTTTATCTGTATCTGTCTGCATTGTTTCTGCAAATGGCCTCTTCTTCCATGTTTAAAGCATGCAGGAGATTGCAGGGCTGCTTTTAGAATTTGGACTTTGTGTTCCAACATTCTGGCATGGTTTGACCTTATCAGTAATAGTATTGATGGCATGCTGTCTTAGTTAGGGTTACTATTCCTGTGATGAAATACCATGACCAAAGCAACTTGGGGAAGAAAGGGCTTACTGGGCTCACACTACTGCCACATCACTATTCATCATAGAAAGAAGTCAGGACAGGAGCTCAAAAAGGGTAGGAGCCTGGAGGGCAGGAGATGATACAGAGGCCACAGAGAGATGCTTCTTATTGACTTGCTCCCCAAGGCTTGCTCAGTCTGCTTTCTTATAGAATCTGGGATCATGAATCTGGGATCACCAGCCTAGGGGGAGGCCCCACCCACAATGGCTGTGCCCTCCCCCATCCATCACTAATTAAGAAACAGGCTGGCTATAGCCCAATGTTATGGAGGCATTTTCTCAGTTGAGTCTCCCACCTCTCTGATGACTCTAGCTTGTGTCAAGCTGACATAAATGTAGACAGCATAAGCACTGACTGCAGGTATTGTGGAATGAAGAAGCTTCTTGCAGTCAAAATTTGCCTTTTCATAAACTAATGAGAGTCCTAAGGTGTGAAGAGGCACTTCATTGTCTGTCACCCTATAGCTTGTCGCTCTATAGACAATTAAGGCGCATTCATACACAACTCTGTAGGTTTTTGCCTGATGGTGGAAGAAGACACTGAAAGAGTGTTATATATAGTCAAGGATCTTATTTCAAGCCCTTGCAGCAGTTCTACTGATCTGTTTACTAACCAGAGTGTTGGTAAGATATAGAGCTACAGTTTCAAAGTTTCCTTGTCTGATTAACTGATCCTAAATACTATTTAGAGAGGGTTGCTGCCTTTGATTATGAGCGACAGTAGGCGGGCATCCATCCCTGGAACTATAAACTATATTGAGCAGTGGTAAGAACTGTTTT